TGCTAAGCATCCCTGTTCTTACCATGCTCATCTCTTCTTATATAAAAATGCTTTGTGTACCAAGTCTTATTGGTTTATTGGGAAGTGAGCAAGCTGATCGATCGGCGAAGTGCCTCTAATTGCGGACGATATCTTGGAAGAGTTAAACCTTCAAAGATATTTTGGAAGAAAAGTTAAAGAGAAAATGGTGGGAGGAAATCTACAATCCTATCATAAGTATTACTCCTCTGTTAAGGCTCAATTAGATCCGCCGTTATATTCAGCAAATACTGAGAAAATCAAAAGAGTTAGGCTGTGGGACAGGGTCCTAAGCTTCATCTCTTGGGCTTTCGAGAGCTTGGATTTAAGAAAACAAACTTTGTGACATCACCCGAGGTTCTAACAAACACGCATTTATACTATATACAGCAGTTCCGGGATGGCTTTGACTCCAATGCGCTGCCACTACGAACAAAAAAAAAGACACTAGCTAATGACTAAACGTAGTTAGTACCCCAGTCAAAATTAACTAGGGGTTAGGTAGTAACCAAATTAGCTAGTGACTAACGCTAGTTAGTAAATATACCAGCTAATGAGCAAACCTACCTGATAATTGGTTTAGATAATAGCTAAACCCAGCCAGCTAGTGACTAAATCCAGCTTGTAAGTAGATTAGATAGTCACAAGGGTCATGTAGTGAAAAGTGGCGGAGGTAGGTAGATTACGTCAGGCTAAGAATTATCTCACGTAATTATTCTCTTGAATGGTCTTCATTGCAGTCGAATTTAATAAAACTTTTTTGTGAGGAACTCTTAAGTGGTAAAAAACTCTCTAGCAACAGGACTTAATTAATGAAATATTGTCGATAGAGATTACATTAGTGGGAGCAGGAAAGAATATGCATAGCTACTATGATTTAATAATATATTCGTTAACATTAACTTTTTCCTTTCTTCTTCCATATACATATATATATATATATATATATATATATATAACTAAAGTAGAAAATCTTCTTGATAAGCATTGTTTGTATATATTATCAGTTTGATATTACGTTACAAATGTGATGATGCAATTAGCTAGAAACCGATTTCGAATAAAGTACCGTAGCAAAAATAGAGGCTTGCTGTGGAAAAATGTTTTGAAAACCGATTTTCATTATATGCGGATTTAATTCGAGTTTTAATTAACAATCTGGACGGTATGATATTGAAAATGTTGCTCTGGCAATGCTCTAGTTTTTGGCTAATAAATAATTTTTACCTCATCGCACATAAAATTAGGTTCAAAAATATTTACATAATGATTTATATAATAGTTAAAAAGTTGAAAAAATTTGCATTAATTTGCATATATATTTTTTACTTCTTCGTTAAAATTTTTGTTGAATATTTTTTATATAACTTTGAAGTAAATCGTTTAATAATTCATAGAACAATAATAAAACTTAATATGCTTATGTAAAATTCACTTCGTGGTTCATACATATATATATATATATATATATATATTTTTTTTTTCTACGTCTCCAAGTTTTTAATTAGAAAACTATCTTTTCTAACAAATTTTATTTTGTTCAACTTTATAATAATAAATTAAAAATCATGTCGTTCTTAAGTTTATTTGCTTTTGCCTACAAAAAAAATATCTTGGAATTTCATTAGAAATTTATGGGGTTAAGTTTAACTAATCAATTATTGCAAATAGACATTAATTACAAATGTATTTACAAACGAAAAAAGTTTGAAAGATTTACGATTTTCAATAGACTTTTATTAATTTTTTTGCAAGGGAAATAAGTTTGTCTAAGTTTTTATATCTTTATTTATTTAATAAAATAAATAAAATTCTTCAGGGTAAAATATAGTGTGTGTACGTAACGCTCATATGGGCTTAAGATAGACCCGTCTTTTTTATTATGCTGATTTAAGTTTGTGTGTCTATCTATCCGTCTTATGTTTGCCCATGCATTTTGCTGTTCAGCATACAGATCGCAAGTTTTGAGGTATTTTTATGAAATTTGGTAGATTGACGTTCTTTCATTCAAGCACGAACACTTTTTCGACCACTCCCCATATAACGCCTTATTTTGCGAAATTGTTATATTGAAAAAATTTTTCATTCATGACATAAGAATTAAGTCAACTAAATTGGAACAACATGGGTTTGTCTCTTAGACCTTTCTTCCATACAAGATATTTCATGAATAGTAAGCCCTTTAGAAAAAAAAGGGTTTAGTTTTTAATTTGATTAAAAAACTAACGATAGCGAATTTGGAGCAAGTAGATCAATATTTAAAAATCAAACATAAGTCGATTTAAGCAAGTCCTTCTGTCCGTCTGTCCGCCTGTGTGGTTGTCCTTCTGTGTAACTTGTGTTGTAAACATTCTTCTGGCGGCAAAAATGGAGATATCCACTCCAAATTTAGCAAAAACATTGGAAGTTCTTCCGCGCAGGGATGGTATTGAAAATATAGCGAATCGGACAAGGGAGACGCCCACAGCCTCACGTAAGCTGAGAGCCCCTATGTTTTCCAAACTTAATGAAAAATTGGTTTTTTGTTTATTACTCATAAACTATAGGATATAATGCAAAAAATTTGAACTTATATTCTATGGGTGATGCTGTAGCACCTCTAAAAATATGGAAAAAATTTCCCGCGCCTAACCAATATTATAGCGTATCAAAATTGAATTTTTTTCAATACTCTTGAAAGGGGTAAAAACAAGTTTTAAAAACCGCTCTGAGTAAAATTTGGAATGCACCCAAACATGTCCATCTGTTCGTCTGTCCATCTGTCCGTCTGCGCAACTGTGCAGTATCGGTGGTAAACATGAGCGAAAATCAAGATATCGCCTAAAAATTTGTAAAAGAACTTATAAGGAACTTAACCTTTTCATAGAATATACCCATAACGTCTACATTCCTATGCGATAAAAACTTTTATTTTGAAAATAGAAAAAACCAGGTGCGCCCACTTCATATTATGGAGTATGAAAATATAGATCTTCTCTATGTTTTTGCTTCTTTTAGGATAATGGTGATGGGCATAAAAGATTCCATCACGACGGAACATAATTTTCTTACTTGTTTTTTTCTTTTCATCGATTTTCCTTAATTATAATCGTACACATGTTTCTTGATGGAATTTGGTTTTATTTTATGTTAAAAAAAAGAATGTATGCGAACTAACTGTGCGTTTAAATAGGAACAACGAAGAAGACATAAAAAGTCAGAAAGCTGATTTTACATTAGAAAGCTTATATAACTATGCGATAATTTCATTTCTAGACTTTTCTTATATCTTTACCTTAAGGCAAGAGAAATGCTGTTCGCCTGGCTAGAGATTTTTTTTTCGAGTAAAAGTAATATTAAGACCCTGATTTCTTGACATTGAAACGCCAAGTATACAAACTTGATTCTGTGGCCCTCCCTATAGGTTGAACTTAGAATAGAAAATGTATAGCAGTCATCATGGAGGCTTTTCTATTTGTTGCCCTTTTTTAAGACATATGTTCTTGAATTTGTTTTTTTTTTTTTTTTTTTGTTTTCGGTAAATGAGGGAATTCTGCGCATTACAAAGGTCATCATTAAAGGAAATTTTTAAAACATATAAAAAAATTGTCCTTGATAAGAGAAAAGTTTAGTGTGGTCAACAGGAAAGTGCTTAATTACCAATTTTTTGATCATGAAACGAATGATAATAAATTTTAACCTCCAAAATTTTTAATTATCCTCTATAGTGTTAGATTATGATCGCGTTAGAATACCGCTAACGTATTATAATTTTTTCCCATTTCCCAAATTGCTTAGCGTTACCAAAGTTCACTGTAAGCAAGCTAAAGGCGAAATAACGAGTAAGTACGAATTTAACATTTTTCTCAAAGCATTTTCATGCGAAAAGTTATTATTGAAGCAAATGCGATAAGTGTAAAAAATTGAATTGACTTTTTGTAGGAAAAGAAAAATCTCGTACTGTGTTTTCATCAAATCATGTACAGGATAGCGTTCCGAGATCTTCTGCTTATTGTTAGTAATAAATTTTTGTTGTAGCCTACAATTTCTAAATTACTTTTAAGTCTCATTGAATTGATTAAACTGCATTTTTTTTTTAATTTATATTATTACAAGTTAATAGGCCACGGTCACCCTTAAATACCATAAATCGCTGCGTTTAATACAGCTATTCATATAGCGGCTTTCCAAATGAAGCCGTGAAGGCGTAAAGGCGTGATGGCGACAAATCATTTCAATGCACAAATTACGTTAAAATATATCTAAAAGTCTCTAAGGCCTCTAAGATGCACACACAAAAAAAAAAAAAAAGGCAACCAAGACGGACTGACAAGCTTAATAAAAAGTGGTTCTGTTTCAAGTCCTTCCGGGTGTTGCACACATCCGTACTAACCTGATATACCCGTGCGTCAAAAGTGTTGTATGATGTACAACAATATTTAATAATTCTTTCTAAAAGAAAATATTTTTTCTTTTCAAATTTAATTCATTCATAAATATTTTATATTTTATAGTAAGTGAATTGTTAATCTATAAAATTTTTAATAATTTTAAAAATTATTAATCATTAATATTCAATTTGATAAACTTTTCCGAATACTTTTAGACCATACACACACACACACACACACACACACCCTATTCACAAACAAAAAAAAAAAAAAAACAACAGCGAGCTGTTTTTATGTTTAGAGTGACGTTTTAAATGAATAACCAAAGATAGGATATTTTTCAAACATATTTATGTATATATGTATATATGTATATGCGGATAACTTTTCAATGACAACGACAAATAAGAAATAAATAAATTTACATGCAAAGATATATGTATACATATCTTTTTCAATGATTAAACACTTAAACTAGTTAAATATCAAACAAGTTTTTTTCTTAAGTCTTTTGTTTCGCTTTTGAACTTTTTTTTTTTTTTTTGTTCATTAAATCGTTATGATATTCATGTTTTTTAGTGTGATTGCTTGCCTATACTTATATATACTTACTAGTTAAGCAAATTAATCCAAATACATAAAACATTTTTGGTAAATGCTGTTGATCTTCGATCCTGAGATGACCGTTACAAAATAAATGCTCTAAGCATTGACTAAACTAAGAACATCGAATGAAAACAATAAAAACGGAAAAAAAAAAAAAATGGTTTTTTTATATTAAAATTATTTATTTCTTCGCTTTTCACTTGAAATTATTTATTTTTTATTTATTTATTTATTTTTATTTTTTTTTTTGACATTAACGTTTTATCTTTTACTTGTGTGACAAACGAGAAAATTAATTGCTTACATGCACTTTTTTTTTTTTGCTTCTTTTGATTTTTTTTTTCTTGTATGCTATTCAGCAGGTTTTTTTACCACACTTTAAACACACTTTGTTAATTTTATTTAAGTAATTTATCTCACTTTAAAACGAGATGTTTTTATTATTATACGTAAGCGCACTTTTTAGATAATCAACCGAACGCTGCAAACACTCAAACCGTACTGACGATTCAAATGCCAATTTGATGTTAACTAGACTTACAGATGCGAAATGTTGGTTTATTGGCACTACAAACGGTTGGCTGGTTTGCTAGTTGCCAGACTGGCTCCAGTTGGTGTTCGTTACTTAGTTTACCTGCTGTTCGTTGTTGGCTGATTGAGAGTTACAGTCTAATTTACTGGACGACAAGCAATAAGTGGTAACAGCATTTTATACTAGGCAAGCAAGGCGTATTCCGCCAACAACAAATGCTTGAAATTTGTGCATAACTACAAGACATTCATACACATATTTTGATCGTATATACTTAATAATTACTTTAGCATCATATGCTCACCTGATTGTTGGCTCATCGAACTGGTGTTTGATTTCAAACTTTTAGATCAAATTGTTTGTCGTCGTGTTTTGTCGTTTTGTTTTGTTTTTTTTTGTTTTTTGTTGTTTTTTTTTTGTTTTAGTATTTTCTTTAAACCCATTTGTAATCAACCATTGTAATCGTCCATCTGTCTGTTGGCGATTGCAATTTTGAAAATCTGCCTGGTACCACAAATACCATACAAAATGAATGTTGGCGACAAACAACAACAGCAACAACAACAAGAATCACAACAAAACTAACAATAACTTTGTTAAAAACACTAACAAAAACTAAAAAGATGTTAATCATGTTATAGTAAAGTTGTTGTTGTTATTGATAATAATGATGATGATTATGATGATCTTTTCGTGTTGAACAACTTGTTGTCTTGTTTGACAAGCCTAAAGCCTAAAGTGGTTTTTCAATTAATTTCAAATATTTCTTAAGCTTTCATTTTTTTTTTATTCACCAATAAGGCTTTTCTTTCTTTTATTGCACTTGTATTTGTCTTCTTTTATTTATCTATTTGTTTTTTTTTTTTTTTTTTTCTCTTTAGCAAAATTTTTACGAATTGTAATTAGATATTCAAATTCAATGATTCCTAATAATAATCAGCGCAAGACATGGTCAGATAAGCAGCTCTAGTGACACACATATTTTGCTTTTTTAACTCATATCGAAACCGGTTATTGAAATAATTCTACTGCAGACGTTTGCGTAGTATTTAGGTTATAATAAATATATGCATACAAATGCATATGCACTTGTAAGCAAACATATGTAATGAGAGATGTAATTTTATTATTTATGTCATTCGTTGTTTTGTAGATGCCTCGATGTTGCAAACACAATAATAAATAAACAAGAAAGAAATTCTTCTATTCAACTTGAAACGAATTTTCTGATACCTTATGTTTATTTGATTTATAACTAACACACACATCGATTTCGAAACTAAGCCAAAGAACTGAACTAAAGCAAACGCGTATGACATTGGCCTAAAAACGTAACGTTGCAGACTACGTAAGCATAACGCTAACGTACGCTAACATATGAAATAGTTTGCTTCATAATGTACCTGATTATTAAAACATTCTCCTGGACACTTAAATAATTTATTAAATAATTTTAAATGCATTCAATGTTGATTGATGGATTGATTGACCGATTGTAGACCACAAAAATTTTAAAAGTTTTTTTCTTTCTCTCTCAAATGATACGAGAAGTCTTTGCTTTTGCCATCAACTTCAACTCAACCGCACGACCCGAATAATTTCGATGCAAATGGCTGGCGGTAACTGCAAGCTTGCTTTTCAATTTTTACACGACCTACGTGCCTCAAAGTTAAAAAGTTCAATAGTCATTGCAAATCGTTCGGCAAACAAATTTTTAAAGAGGATGCCTCACGAACTGGTTTCTTTGAAACTTTCTTTTTAATTAATTCTTCATTTCTTTACGAATGTCTTTCAACTAACATCCAAGTCGTGAGTGACGTAAATCAAATTCATAATGCGCTTATAGCTCGCAAGCCCTAGAATCATGGCTTGTATGATTATAAGCAAACTAAATTAATGATTACATCAGAGACTGCAGTCATTTCTTCTAGTTTATAACTGTAAAAGGCCTAAGGGAGACTTGCATTCATTTCAATTGCATTCATTTTAGTTTTGAAAACTTGGATCCGTGTAAGCTGCCGTTTCAATGAGATTTCTTAGCTTATAATTTAAAAAAAGGCTTAGCTAGTTGTGCGAAGTCTATGTTCGCATACGATCTTCAATTGTCTGGATCTGCATATTGCCATTGTTACGTAACGGCAAGGAAATTTCAAAAATGTTAGGTCTGTTCTATTTTCTCCTTCTGTTTACCCCTTTCACGTATGATTGATATAATTTAAAGCGTTAAGTAAAAGCAGAGAACACTGAAACTCAAGTTAAAAGTTATCGTTTATGATAGACAGCTTTGATATGATTATGTGAAAATTTTTTTCATCTAATAATCACTGGCTTATCTTTCGCCTTCTCCCTCTTTTGCATTGCACTTTCTTTGGCTCATATAAAGATGAGGTTCATTCATCTTTTCTTCTTTTACCTTAGCAACTACACCGCGAACTTTGTGAGACATTATATCTTTTAATTAGGAACGCTATAGCAGTCGTTGTTAAAGTTAGGTTAGGCATGCACTTTAAACTATTTTCGGCCGCGATCGAGTCTTCTTTACCCTCCAATAATATACAGACTTTGTACGGCCTATGAAGTTTCTCTCTGGGTGCTGTAAATGCTTAGATAAAACAATGAAATTTTAATATTCTACAGTATTGAATGGGCGTGGCAAGTATTGAAGGACCGCCTATAGAAAAAAAAAAACAATTTTTATCGTCTATTGTGGTTAATAACCTATCGAGCATAAAAATGAATTTTTTTCTTATTGAAGACACAGGCTGCCTCAGACTATGTTGTACTGTGGTCGTGTCCTTTGAACGAGATGACTCAATTTCAATATCAATCTGCATGCGGCAATTTCCAATCTCTATGCGTAATTGGAAGGCGATTGGTGCATTGTTTCGACTAAGTGGTATACGGACAGAAGGACGGACACAGTTAAATCATTTTAGAGTTTTAAGCTGCGCACGAATACATATATATACATTATTGTGGCTCTCAGACTTTCTTCTGGGTGCTGCAAACGTTTTGACAAGATTAACTTATCACTTCCTTCATCCTTATATATATAAGATATCATCCTTATATATATAGGATATAAGAATCAAGATGTCAAATAATTATAAATAATAATTGATATAATAATTTATATAATTATAAAAAATAATTTATTAATTTAATGGAGTGTGACCATAATTTTATAAGGACTTGCTACTGAAGAAACTTTATCACGAATGATGGAAATGTAACGAAACACGTTAACATTATAACGACTTAGATGATAGCATAGCATTAAGCGATTTCGTGCAGAGTCAGATTCGATCGATTATGTTGCCCATTTAGTCACATCTGCCTCGTATCCATCTTACGTTTCTTGTTAACCCTTGTCTTGTCTTATCTTTAAAGCATAAAGACCAAGGTCTTGAATCAGTTTTGCAAATATTTTCAATCCGCCTTCAATTAAAAAAATCGAAGTGTGTTGGTAATTATTTAACACCTTCATTAAATACACACAAACTGTTAAATAAAACTGTTGTTAATGGTTGGCATATGAATTAGACAATGCAGACTATTTTTACGTTTACTTTTTGAAAGGTCTCTTAATATATATTTCCGCAAGGACTTGAAGCTTGTTATAAGCGAAAGTTGATTATTTATTGTGTGAGTGAGTAGCTGTGACTCATTGAGGCTTTGAAAATGTTTCGTCAAATATTTCGATCAATGATCGGGCAATCTTTGCTATGGGATGTGATAAGGAACATGAAGTTTTTTTTTTTTTTTAACATGAACTCTTCATGGGGGAAATTTTCACGCTTTTTCAATACCTAACAGATTTACTTTTTGCTCTTATTAATTTCTATTATGGCATTTATGATCAGTAGGTCGATAGTTTAAATTTAGACTACGATTTTTTGTTTTTTTTTTTTTTTTTTGCTATAAATTGCAAAACATTTACACTAACAACATGAAAGTATATACGAGCATTATACCAATATTTATAATCACTTCACGTATTTGTTTGCGACAATTTTGAAAATTTTGTGTCACACTTTTGATTTTAATAATAAAAAAAAAAAAAAAAAAATACAAACAAAAAAAAATTACTTAAAACTTGTTTTTCATGGCTCAGGTCATTGTTTATTATGCTTTGTATATTATTAATATTCTTATTATTATTATTATTATTGTATGCTGCGTTGTCTAAAATTAAAGAGAACAATCATTTTAGCGAATTTGTTGTTATTAACTTTTTAGCTTTATACCACCTATTGAAAGAACGCAAATAGATTAATTTTGTGAGTTTGTTTGTAAGTAAAGCAAATATATATCGAAAAGTATGCAGACATTGTTTATAATATTGAGTGAGTTTTCGACTTCATTTAGTTATGTCCGTCCGTAAGTCATTTTGTTGTTACATGCTTCACATCGCAAAGAGTTACAACGAAAAGGTTGGCAAAGCATTGACATAAGTTCTCATATTAATTTCGAGGTTCGCAACGATCCATTGACCTATACATAACACATATAATACACACTAACAACTGTCAATTGAAATAAAAAGAAACTTTAAAAGCTTGAACACATGTAATGTTGAACTTTGACATACACTATGACAGTGTAATCTTGTAATAGGATATGAAATGTGAGATCGTTATCATCAGCTGCAAGTACAAACACAAAATTAGTTAACTATATTATCTACCATTAACGAAAGCATCATCGGTCGGGTTGGAGAGGAAGTAAAACAAATCTCTATCCGATCGGATGGTCCGCCTGAAATCAAAAAAAATTGTAAATGCTTGAAATGTGTGGTTATCCGAAATTCGTTGGAAGGCGTAGATCTCGCTACATCCCTTGTACTTAACAGCATAAAAGTATATTAAAATTGTGCGATTGTATCCAAT